ACCAGAACCAGCTGTAACTGTGAAAGATGACATTGTTCATGGAAAAAATGCACACAGCTGGCAAAGTGTAGATCTACCCCACCACAACCTTTCTTAGAGCAAGCTGATCTCTAAAAGTCAAACCTGTGTCCTGCTGGACAGCTGAGAGACGCTGCGAGTAACATGATAAAAGTAGCAGATGACTCTGTCAGGGAAGGAACCCTTTCTTCCGCATTCAGCTGCACACCAGTGCAGCCAGGTCTCCATAGGCACAAAGTGGATGCCCCATTGCTGTCTAACTAGCGGTTCTTGCTGGATGTTGCTCCTTTGTAGCAGTGAATGATGCCTTACAACATTTCTGGCTGGCTAGGAAAACCTGCACCAGCCTGGCAACCCACCACCAGTCGATTAGGCTTCACTGCTCGCTTAGACTGCAAGTAGTATGGTATACCTCGTTATCAACCCTTAAGAAACTCCAAAAATACATCCCAGTACACCAGGAAACTCCATCACATCACCTCAGCAGCATGGGCTACTGCAAGCAAGTCAAAGCAGTCTTCTGCTCCTGGCACTGGCTTCCCACAGCAATACCAAGTCAATTAATTTGACTCCCAGTTCTTATCAGTGGTCTGAGATCCAGATCCTTTAAAAATCCTCCTGAAGCTCTGTGATGAGATTTGGCTGACAGTGTTGCTCTTTGGGTAGAACTGAGCTTTCTGCAATAAGGTGTAGTTACTTGCACAAGAGACAGAGCTTTCTTGCAGGAAGATCTTTAGTCTGTAGGGTTGATTGCCATGCAAACTAAATATCTTCAGAACCTTCGCCTGATTTTTGATGCATGCTCAAGGCATGCTTTGAGGCTCCGCTGTCACTAGTTTAAACACGGTCAATATGAGGGAGTACTGACAAAAACTGTAGCAGGGGAGGGGAAGCAGAGCCGGTCTATACTGGGACCAGTTGATGTTGGTCAATGGAAGCAGCTAGTCAGCGGGCAGTCACGACAAGCGGGTTCCAGACATCAGAATTTCTGAAGTCAGTTCTTTCAAACTATGCCAACAGTGCAGGAGGAGATACTGTAGAAGCAGGAAACAAATCTGCCCTTCCTCCAAAAAAGTACAAAGAAGAGGGAACTCTGCAAAAATGTGAGACATAAGCACGAGTTTTATAAAAGACCGTGTTCCCTCAACTGCAGCGCTAGCGTCCAGCCTTACTGCTTCCCCTCTTACAACCTTTCTTGGGCCTTCTTGATGGGTTTTTAAATTCCATATTAAAACACTGTCCACTGGCAAGAAGGAGGCTGAACCTTCCTGTATACTACAGACATTCCTAGGTATCACATTTCAAAAAACTTCCAGTAGAGCTCGAAAGCCAACAGGAAAAGGTCACAAGGACGATGAGAGGAGTGCAATGGTTTTCTTGCTAGGTAAGGCTGAACAGGGTAGGCCCTTGCATCTTGGAAGAAACCAAGAGGAACTGGAGTGACAGAGGTCTGTAACATTGTGAATAGCGTGGACGCAAATAGGGAGTGATCATACCCGGTTTCTCATAAAAAAAGAACTAATCAGCATCACATGAAATTATTTTATATTCTAACATGTATACTAGATGACATGTATTTAAACTGTATAATATTGTCTCACTATGTAACAGAGGTCAAAAGTATATATAAACAGTATAGAAACAGGTCCATTGGTGCCTGTTAAAATGAAGACTCAGATGCAACCTTTCGCTCTGGAGGTTTCTAAAGCTTTGATTTTTCATGAGCTGGGAAGATGTGTCAGGGTAAAAACTGCTAAGTGTATGTCCCATTTCTTAAATCCTTCAGTAAGTATCCCTAAATGACCATTTCCAACACTGGGAGAGTGGGCAAGATTGACCAATTTGTGCAAGATCATCTTGTTGTCCCAACCATTATTGTGGAACGGGGACCACCTCCAGTACTGGGGCTATGATGGAGGCAGGGGGCTTGGGCTGAACGTCGGGGTGGGGGTCTTGACTCGGACAACCAGGTTTGATCTTGGACGGAGCCGGGTCCTGAGGAGGGCAGCTGCTGATGGTGACGATGGGGTGTTGGAAGGGCTGAACGGGCTTTATTAATCTCCATGCGGAGCAGAGGAGGAGAACTGTCTTGGCCAGGGCAGGTGGTGGTGGGGCGAGGCAGAGGCACGGGCACCTGAGGCAGATAGCCGTAGGGCAGGCTGGTAGCTCAGCCGTGGCTCCATCTAGGCGAGCTGCAGCTCTAATACGCTTGCCTGAAACAAGGCCTGACACCTGGGGCATTCCCGGAATTTTTCTGTCCTTGGCGCCAGTCTGCGCAGCTCACACACGTCAGACGAACCTGAGGAGAGCGACGCGAATGCATCTAAGCATTGTGCCGTGGCGACTTGGGTTTCAATGATCTTTCAGTTCATGGAGAGTGGGTTGGGAAATGAGAACGTATAGGTGATGCCACCTCTACACTGATGATCCTGACATCTGGTTATGATGTTGGTACCTGCGCTTGAAGAGGATGCTAAAACGCTGAGTCAGCAGCCAAAAAAGAGGCACAGAAATGAGTGAGGGAACAGGGAAGGTAATTTACGGCGAGAGGCTGAAGAAGCTCGACCTGTCTGGTTTACCGAGGACTGAGATGGCTTGACGACAGCGCTCATCTTCAGGAGCAGTCAATATACCGGACACCACACCACGGTCTTTAAGGCAGAAATCCGTGCGCATGAACTGAGCTCTGATTAGGGATGAAGGCCACACTGGTAACCGTGAGGACGAGTGCAAACTCTGGTTAGGGATGAAAGACGGAGGCACAGAAATGAGTGAGGGAACAGGGAAGGTAATTTACGGCGAGAGGCTGAAGAAGCTCGACCTGTCTGGTTTACCGAGGACTGAGATGGCTTGACGACAGCGCTCATCTTCAGGAGCAGTCAATATACCGGACACCACACCACGGTCTTTAAGGCAGAAATCCGTGCGCATGAACTGAGCTCTGATTAGGGATGAAGGCCACACTGGTAACCGTGAGGACGAGTGCAGCCGCCAGAACAGCGCGCTACGCCGTAAGCTCATGGGCTCTTCGCTCCTGGCAGTGCTTCTGCCCAGGAGGCACGCTCCGGCCAGGTCCCAGACACACGGCCCGGCCCCTGCCCGACGCCCCGTCCGCTGCACCCC